CCCAACTGCCTCTCCAACTCCTCTACCACCCCACCCCCACCACCCTCACCCACCCCAAAAGACAACCCAGACCCAGACCCAGAACCACCACCCTCACCCGCCCCAAAAGACAACCCATCCCCAGACCCAGACCCAGACCCTGAAGAAAAAGAAGAGGAAGAAGAACAACTACACCGCCCCAGAGCGTCCCGCAACCGCCGGTTCTCGTCCAGAACCGCCCGCGCAGCCCGCTGCATCTCGGCCGAGGCGCGTACCCCCTCGCGCTCGTAGAGCTCGACACGTCGTGTCAGCTCGTCGAGGACCTGTCTCCTGCGGGCGCGGGAGCGGCGCTGGGCGTCGCGGTTTAGGGCTATTGATTCTTGGGTTTTTGGGTCCTTTTTTTTGTTTTTGTTAGTTTTTTTTATATCCCCTTTCTTTTTTTTCGGGTTTGGGTTTTGTTTTGTGTTCTCTTGGGAGGTTGGTTGTGAGGTGATTGGGGATGATTGGGGCTGCTTGGGTGGGATGTGTGCCCTGGTGAGTTGTGTGCTTTGGGGAGAGGGTAGGGAGGTAGGTAAGGGAGGGAGGGAGATATCCAGGCCGGAGTCCGGTCCGGCCTGGTCTGGTCTGGTCCAGTCCGGCTCGGTGGGTGAGTGAATGAGTGGGGAGTGAGTGGGTGAGTTGAGGGAGTGGGATATTAGAAAAGGTGAGCCGGGAAGAGGGGGTGAAGCCGGCAAGGGGGGGAAGGGGGCAGGAAGGGGAGGATACCACGCTCGCAAAGCAGTCTCGATAGACACAAAAAAATACATACCTTTCTTGGCATCTTGACTTTGATCTTCTATCTCTCGCAAAACTCTGTGCCGCAATGCCCAAGTCAACAGAGCTGAAGTGGCGTGATCTCCTCACTTCGCAAGCATTCCCGGAAAAAACGCCAACCCGATTGGACGCCTCTTAGCCACACCGATCTCGTGACTTTCTCCGTCTTCAGTTTTCACTCTTCAAAGACTTCACTCAATATTCATATATGCCAATATCAACACAAAGCTCAATTTATAGCTGCTCTATCACAGCTTAATTCCCATAGGTGACAAAATCTCTAACCCTACACCGCAACGCCATTCGTACATATCCCAAATCTACCGGTGCAAAAATGGCAACGTCTTGCTGCTCTCCCGCTCATATGGCCATACCCAGTTCTTCAGAAACGCTGGGTCAATACCATTCTCAAATGCCTCGTTCCGCGCCTTGATCTGCGCATTGTGGAGCGCCTCCCGAGCCGACGATCCCCGGTTGCCCAGCTGCGGCATCCGGTCAATAGCATCCATCGCCAGACTGAACCGGTCCGTCTGGTTCCGGATGGCAAGCTCAAGCGGCGTGTCAATGTTACCCTTCTCCTTGTATCCCCGCACGTGGATGTTGTGCGATCCCGGCCGCTTGTACGTCAGACGGTGCACAAGCCACGGGTAGCTGTGGAAGTTGAATATGATGGGCTTGTTCGCCGTGAACAGCGATGTCCACTCGCTATCCCGCAGACCGTGCGGGTGGTCCACGTGCGAAATAAGCTTAAACAGATCCACCACGTTGACGCACCGGATCTTCAGCTCGGGGAAGTGCTGCAGCAGCAGGTCGATGGCGGCGATCGACTCGTGTGTCGAGATGTCACCGCACGAGGCCATGACCAGATCAGGCTCCTCGCCATTGTCGGTACTGAACTGAGGCCAAATGCCGATACCCTTGGTGCAGTGGATAATGGCCTCATCCATCGTGAGATACTGCAGATGCTCCTGCTTGTCGGCAACGATGACGTTGACGTAGTTTGATGACCGCAAGCAGTGGTCGACAACAGAGAGCAAGCAGTTGCCATCCGGCGGCAGGTAAATCCGGACAACCTCGGGGCTCTTGTTCGCCACGACGTCGAGGAAACCTGGATCTTGATGCGTAAACCCGTTGTGATCTTGTCGCCACACCACAGCCGTCAGGAGGATATTGAGCGACGACACCTTGCTTCTCCATTCAACTTCAAGGCACTTCTCAATCCATTTGCAGTGCTGTGTCATGTTAGCTCGGCTCAACCTGAATAGACACAAAAAAAAACATACCTGGTTCACCATGGAATCGATGACGTGAATAAAAGGCTCGTAGCTGTTCAGGAGACCGTGGCGGCCACTGAGAATGTAGCCCTCCAGCCAGCCCTCGCATGTGTGCTCCGAGAGCATCTCCATGACGCGGCCCTCGTGCGCCAGGTTGCCGCCGTCCTTATCCTCGGCAAAGTACTCGCCCATCCAGACCTTCTTGCCAGCCTCGTACACCTTGGCCAGCTTGTTGGACTCGGTCTCGTCAGGACCGAAAAGGCGGAAATTTGTCGGATTCGATGCAATGATATCCCTCAAGAAACCCGCCATGTTGGTCATGCTGGCCCCCATGGTTACTCCGCCCTTCTCGAGCTTTAAGGCATAGTCCTCAAAGTTGGGCATCCGCAGCGGCTTGCGGACCATACCGCCGTTGGCAACAGGATTGGCGCTCATGCGGCGGGTACCTGTCGGGCAGAGAGCTTCGCGCAGCTCTGTCTTGAACTTGCCGCCAGCAAACAGCCTATCCGGTTCGTAGCTCTTCATCCACTTCTCCAAGAGCTTGAGGTGTTCGGGGTTCTCGTGGACATCCGTGATGGGGACCTGATGGGCGCGCCAGTAGCCTTCGAGGTACTTGTCGTCGATTTTGCGGGGGCCAGTCCAGCCCTTGGGCGTCCGGAGAATGACTACCGGCCACATGGGGCGGAACGCCTTGCCTGAATCTCTGGCTTGTTTCTGGAACTTTCTGATCTCCTTCACACAGTGCTCCAGTGTGGCGGCCATAGCCTGGTGCATCGACTCGACATCGTCGCCCTCAACAAAGTACGGTTGGTAACCGTAACCGATGAACAGATTCTCCAGCTCCTTGTGGCTAATACGAGCGAGGATGGTCGGGTTGTTGATCTTGTATCCGTTCAGGTGCAGGATGGGGAGGACGGCACCGTCGGTGATGGGGTTGAGGAACTTGGTGCTGTGCCACGACGTGGCCAACGGACCCGTCTCGGCCTCGCCGTCACCCACCATGGTCACGGCGATCAGATCGGGATGGTCGAAGACGGCGCCGAAGGCGTGTGAGATGGAGTATCCGAGCTCGCCGCCCTCGTGGATGCTGCCGGGCGTTTCAGGCGTCGCGTGGGAGCCGATGCCGCCGGGGAACGAGAACTGCTTGAAGAACTTTTGCAAGCCCTCCTCGTCCTCAGAAGTCTCGGGGTACACCTCCGAGTAGGTGCCCTCGAGGTAGGCTTGCGAGAGGACGGCGGGCGCGCCGTGGCCGGGGCCCGAGATGAAGATGGCATCGAGGTCGTATTTGGTGATGAGCCGGTTGAAGTGCATATACGTGAAGATCTGGCCGGGAGCCGAGCCAAAGTGGCCTAGGAGTCGGGCTTTGAGGTGTTCCTTCACCAATGGCTCTTTGAGGAGGGGGTTTTGGCGGAGGTAGATCATGCCGAGGCTGAGATACAAGCTGGCCTTGAAGAAGTCATTGTACTTCTCGATCTCCTCTTTGCTGAGAGGCGACCCCTGGACGGTAGATCGAGCAGGCCCATACGGGCTAATGCTCTCGAGCTCTTTCGAGTCGCTCATGCTGGTGTGTGTAATGACAAGACAGATCCAATTGATGGGTGTCTTGGGAGTTGTGAGTGCTTAGGGAGGGAGAGGTCCACTGGCACAGGAATGGCCGGCGCAATTGTACTTATAGGCCGTGGCACTGGCAGGCAGGCGATCACCATGAAAACAAGGAAGAGGCATTTTGCAAGCGGAGACGACCGTCGGTCGTCTTCCTTCAGAGCTCTGGTTGCTGTTTCCCATGCAGTGGTGCATCACGATTGCGGCCCGCAAAAAGGTGGTCTGATTGCGACCATGACGGCAGCCGGCCCACGATACGGCCGCCCAGCCAATCGTCTGGAAGCGTGTGTGGGAGGAGGATCCTGATTTCGCACTTGGTGACCCCTCGATGTTATCGTCTTTCCCCGCCTCAAACAACGGAAATACCACTGAAGCTGCTTGGCCTAGTAAGCACCTGCATTCATTTAGCCGTCCCCGCCGACCCTGCAAAGCTTCGCAATTCCTCTTGGTGGAAAGCGTAGTGAACAGAGCAATGGAGGATCGTAGAAACTGGAATGTTGCCCCACGCCAGTACCTGTCTGGTGCCTGAAGGGTCCTCAAGGGTCCTCCTGTCAGCGACGTTAGGCTTGGGATGGCAGGTGGGGTTCCATCAGTGGGAGCTTGGGCCAGTTTGCGCTGGCTCCCGGCGGCTTCCACCTGGCGGCGGGGTGCGCGGCGCAATGGCGCGCCAAAGCACCTGATGAGGGGACCGCGTTTCTGGGCCGGATCGCGGGCCTAGAACCATTCAGGGTCCTCGGTTCTGCAAGCACCGCCCGAACTGCCCGCCATTTTACTCGTATCAGCCCACGTTGGCGGTCTGCAGGCTCGCCGGACCCAGTTCCACATCGCGCCGGCCGGAAATCACACCACATTGCAACGGCTGGCCGCCATGGCGCTTCAGCCTCGTCCATCTGATTTGGCCATCACTGCAGTTCGTCATCGGTAAGTTGCCATGCAATTGTTTTCGCGATATCCGCCGTGCAAGCTTTTGCTAGAGTAAATTAGAGTAGTGTACGACCGAGCCTGTGATCGCCGGCGGGCACGCCGACCAGCAATAAATCTCGCAAGGTTCTAGATGCAGTCTCTCTCGGCGTACCTCTGCCAAGCGAAGCAAAACTGGTTGTCTCCCGGGCCAAGTCGACACCTCCGATATCTGAAGTGTCGATCACGTTGCCTCCACGGCGTGGCGGTATTAATACGTCAAAGTCTTTCCTTCATAGTCTCTGGCCATCACGAGCAAGCGCATCATCAATGAATAACTTATACAGTGGTGTAGTTGCTGTACCCCGTAAACCGTACTTAGACCCCGACTGCGCAGAACTGACCAATCGGCGAGCTTCCCGCACAGCACCGGCCCGTGTAGCTCAATCGGTAGAGCGTGAGACTCTTATGGAGATTTCCAACATCTCCAGATTGACATCTCAAGGTCGCGGGTTCGACCCCCGCCATGGGCTCAATTCCCATTGATTAATTCTTTTTGCTCTTCTCTCTTTTTTCCCCAAATGCTGGATTCAGAGGTGACTGGGAGTGTCTCCACGGCAGCGAGGTGGCTCAAACTTGACGAGCATGGATTAACAGGGTTGCCGAAACGCAATAGCCCCGAGATGCCTGCCGACTACTGGTGCAAATCCATACACTTGGGTGACGAAATGAATCACTTGGCAAGGCCCGGTTGGATTAAACGGCTTTTTCTTCTCTCCTCAAATCTCAGTGCCTCGCTCAACACCCACCATGCACAAGCGGCCTAAAACCCATGACGGTCCTAACGAGAGCGAGAACTGAATACAAATCAAATAAGCAGAAGCATTTGCTCATGAGGACATATCGCCCTCCAAATTCGACATAGGAAACTAAACACAGCTGGCCTTGACCGGGTCAGCCCAAGGAAATCCCATATCTCCCTCCCCTATTCACCAAACTCCCATCCCGACGTCTTGCCAATCGCTATCGTACTATCCATTCCATTCGTCTCGCATCGAGTGTCCCGACTTCATGGCCTCCAGCGCTGGGAAGCTCCTCATCGTCATTCCAGCGCCTTCGAACGTGTCGAAAGCCAGCCAAAGCCTTGGATCCCACCCTGTTTTCACCGTCCCGTCCACGCCAGCAGAATATTAGTCAAATTTCGGACGTCCGCGTCAAAGGAGGGCCATATGGCCTCGAAGTGCTGTACTTCTGTCGTCGAAGCGGCCAGTCCGAGATTATCGAGTATATATCATATAACAGGAGACTCATCCATCATCCCAAGCTCAATCCTTTTGAGCTAACCCGAGAGAACGAGAAAAGTTCGGGTGCCGGGTGCTGGACCCGGGCGAACCAAACATCGAGCCGAAAGGTAAAGTGTCTTGTATGTCGGGGCGTCGAGACATCAAACCGAAAGAGCAAACGACAGTGGTATCAAGATCGAACCCATAGCGCAGATGAAGAAACTCCAAACTCCGGCCCAGACCTGCGAAAACGTTGGATCCCCACTCATGGGAGGCAATTCCATAGTAAGGGTTGTGGCTACCATCCCTTCTTTCTGGCAAATCGCTTATTGAGAAGCGCAAGGACTTTCGGAACGTTGAACTGAACATACTCCAGGTCGAGATCGTCCTGGCCGTCCTTTTGCATCTCGAGCAGGTCATCCAACTTCAGGTCCAGTTCGAGAAGGCCCCGATTTCGTCCTGGAGACCAAGTTAGTCGCCACTTCTCAAAAACGCCCAATCACGCCAAACTTACCTTTGTAATGAAGCGAGATGACAAAGGTTCCCGGGAGAGGGCTGGTGAAGTTGAAGTAGATGTTGGCTCTCCGGTTGTCCGGGACATTGCTTCTCTGGATCACCCCCTCCTTCTCCAGCTGCTGATGGGTAAACTTGTATGGACCGAGAACCTGCTGCTTCTGCTGCTTTCTCCGCGTGCCCTCACTCTGGCTGCGAACATTGTGCAGGTAGCTCTTGTAAGTGTCAAGCTGGCTGAGGAGATATGCGTTGTGGTCGCGGATCGTCTTGAAGACCTCCTCGAGCTTCTGCGTCTCGGCAAGGACACCCTCCTTCAGCGAGCCCAGGTGCTGAAGTTCCTGCTCCACCTCGTCGCGAAGCAGGGCGTACTGGTCGCCCTTGTCAATCACCTTCATCTCCTTCAGTTGATCGAGCAGTTCTATCGCCCGAATTCCTTTGCGGACCATGACGACTTCGTTCTTGGACGTGGCGGCCGCATCGGCGATGCGCTCCAGCCGCAACGGCCGCTTGGCTACCGAGGATGTCGGAGGTATCGTTCGCAGAATCTGGACGAAGATGGACTTCGCCTCCATAAAGTATACCTCCTCCTGTGTGATATCCAGTGCCGCCGTCAGATCGTCGATGGCCGTCTCCCACCTGCTGAAAAGGGGCAGATTGATTACCCTATTCTCCTTCCGCGCGACTTGAGCAGGTGCGGGTCCCAGTTCGGACATGATGATGCCAAGATGCGAGTTCTCATCTTTGCAAAGCTCACCCCTGTGCTTCTCAATCAAGGCGTGCATCGCGTAGATTTCGTTCAGCGTGATGGAGAGCTCCAGGTCCTTCTTGGAAAGCGCCACATAATTATCCATCTCGAGGCTCTCATAAAAGTCCTGGACTTCGCATAGGTCAAGCATGAACTTGTTGACGCGATCCTTGTTCTGGTGGATGAACGGCTGCAGTTTCGCCATGTACGGCTCCTTGGCATACGATGGCTTATTCGCCAGATTCTGCAGCATCTTGGCGATGAGAGTCAACGTTCTTCTGGGTCGATCCGCGGGCTGATCGTCAATGAGCATGTAGGATCTCGGTGTGACAATGGCTGGGTTGATGAAGCGGAGGAAGAAGAAGCCGCCAATGAGCGTGCAGATGACTTGGTCGTTGGCGTCCGGATACTTCCTCTTGGTCAAGCTGCGAATCTGCTTGCAGATCCAGCGAATGCCGTACGGCGCCTCCTCCAGCCCGTCGATGATTGTTGTGAGAAAGCCATTAGCAATCTCGGTCAACATCGTCAGTCGGGGCTCGATGATGGCTTGCACCTGTGGGTTCTCCGCGGCCTGTTCCGCCGTTATCCCCTTAGGTAGCGACGCGGGAAGGCTGCCAGTATCCTCTTCGATCTGCTCGCACATGCGCTCGTACACCTTGAGCGGGTTGATTTCCAGATCCATGTCCTTGAGTTCGATCAAGCTGTTGATCCTATCGGCGAGAACGGCCTTGAGGAAGCTCTGTCCGGGACCTCTCCTAGTATAAGTCGTCATCATCCTCGAGACCGGTGTGTTGGCGCGAAGGAGCGACGAGTACTCGGGAGTGTTGTCGAACTGATAGGTCAAGACAGACTAAATTGGGGGTTAGCTCTGAGTATGGTTCTGTAAGAAATGGGCCACGGACCTGAAACATGGTCAACAGCAGATGCTCCTCGCGACTTTCGTACTGGTTTCCGTAGATGGTGAACATCACCGTCTGCAGAAGGGAGTCTATCTCAGCCATCGAGACAAGGCGACAGAGGTGCGCGATATGCCTGGGCTCTGACTGCAACAGGAACAACAAGTTCCCGTATCGCTGCGTCTTGTCGTCGTTGGGGAAAGCGCCCTCTTGCATTTCAGTGGCATCTTCCAAATGGCTGGCCACCTCGTTTTGCTGCTCCAGCTGTTAGTGTGTGTCTGAAAAACAGTATTGACCGGAGCCTTCGAACCTCTTCTAGCGCCATGCGATTCGCGATCAGCAGTGCGATGCGCGAGTCGAGATATCTGACATCTTTTTCAAGGACGAAGTTCTTCTTTGACTGCGATGAGATTTTCGTCTTAAGGTCTCGCAAAAGCTTCTGGGCTGTACAGTGTGGTCAGCGGTTTTCCCTCTCTTTGAGCCAAAAAGTCTCGTACCTTTGGCCAGATCGTCGTCAATGACAAGGTCCGATTCATTTGCAGAGATGGACATGTACAACGCCGACATGGAATAGCGCTTAGACTGGCGCGCAGAGCGCGAGCCATCGTAGGAAGACATGGTGTTCTGTCGGGAAAGAGGTTGGAAGGAAGACGAGGATGCGGTCGAGGCTCGTGATGGTGTTTGAAGCATGACGGACATGTTGGCATGCACCGCCAGCAACAATTGATCTCGGCCGAGCTGTTAGGCCCGGGGCCTCTGCGTAAGAAGCGACGACTATGCGATCCAACTCAGGGTTTGCCAATCTCGAGCGTCCTGTGGAGAGTTCGAAGACGGCGGCGGGTGGGGGGGTTGTTGGGTCGACGGGAGGCGGCGTCGGGTGGTGGGGAGGAGACGGTGTCGGTTCCTGTCCCAGTCGCGCGGAGATTTCGCACCGCAATTGAATTTCGATCCAAGTCGTTGTTATAGGTGTCGTCTCCGGTGAAAGGCGACAGCAAGTCTCAATCGAAATCTTGGTCCGTTGGCGAGGGTAGCAATTCTTCGGCAATCGAGAGACGTCGCAGGAGCAGAGACGCCGGGGTCCGTCTGTGTTCGTCGGGAGCAGTCGAGGGTGGAGGGCTGGCGACCGACGCCACAAAGGAGGCCGATTGAAAAAGGAATGCGCAACGAGAAAAGGCCCGTTGCGAGCAAGAAGAGGTTGCACTGCAGTCACTGTGGCGTCAGGGGAGTTGCAAGACAGGTCATGCGAAGACCTAATGCAGTCTGGCTGCGTGTCCAGCGTGCCTTAGTGATGCCTGTGTGAAGGAGAGCGATGGGAGGATGAACCCAGCGTGCCCGGTCTCGATTCTCTGGGTTTTCTTGGAGTCGAGCGCGGGAGGGCGTGCCGTTGCTGCGGTGGACCTTCAAAACCTCCGGTTGGGAAGGCCTGGCCAAGACACAGTGCACTCGGGACAGTGCTGATAGGGCGCGACAATCGAGGGTCTGAGCCGCCCGCGCAGCAGCCAGTCAGAGGTGCGAGACGAGGGCCAGTGGAGCACAACAGAAACGAAGCCACACCACAGTCGCCCAACTGAAATGGCGTTTGGCAGGAAGCACCTGGGCACGTTTGATAAGCGGCATTCGAGAAATATGTATCTTGCCGCGCAGAAGAAGCTCGTCGGTGTGTAGAATGGCAACATAACATCCGAGCTTACGGCACACCAGGAGTCAGGCCCATTTCCGTTCTTGGTGTTTGTCCGCTCAATGGGGTCTAACAAGGCACCCGTTTGAGCTAACTTGCAGGCGAGCCAGGGTCCCTCCGGCGTTTAAATTTCAGTCGGCCGATGTCGTGGGTGCGAGCCTGGTGTTATCAGACGGACAGCCGAAGCTTCAGGGAACAGCATGCACTCGATTTTCTTAGCATGGAGCACCTCCCGTCCTGAAGGACATGTATTGCTAACGTCAGAGGACATCGCTACAGCGCTGCATAGGCTCTCGAGGCGGTGCAAACACTGTGTACATGACGTGCCGATCGACCCCTCGACAGCGTGAACCCACGGGGATCGAGAAAAAGCAAGAGGCTCGCTGACGTTATGCGGTACCTATCCATGCTGAGTAGT